TTGTAGGAGGGTGTGAAGAAAAATAATAAACGAAGAGAATGTTAGAAAAGGAATAAATAGATAAATTCATTCATTACTTAAGGCAAACCGATTTTATTTGTTAGCCACATCAATGTCCGTACTGACTTGTATCAGATGGCAATCAGTAATGTGTAGTAGCGTTCGGCCCTAACCACACAATCCTTAAAGCTTGACACTAGACAACTGTGAAACTAGATATTCAATGTTTAAGTCGAAGAAAAACCCAACGAGGGAGAATGAGAGAAGAATGACGGAATTGAATTCATTCGAGCTGATCGGATCGCACGACTCGGCCTTGCAGGCGTGGCCCCTGTTGAATGTTACCTTATATATTTTACTCATTAAATATATCGTTCTATCTCCAGCCTGAATGTGTTCTCCATCACATATCAGTAATTCTAACGATACGATGAGTCAGTGTAGACACTAATGTGAATTCCACATAATATCTTATAGATTCGGCAGCTACATCATAACAAATCTAACATTTTAGGATTAGGTCTATTATTAGAGCAGTGCTAATATCGAAGTAGATCATAATTCCACAAATGTAATCCCCGACACTTCTGTAGGTCACGTTTGGGCTATGGATATAATAAGATATTTGATGCGGATAGGAACAAGTTACACAGAATGATCATGCCTGTATGATCGAGCCATGATATACAGATCGATTGTTCCTGAGTTCACCACAATTTATCTTCTCCAGTTGTTACATACTGAATGCGATTCTCAGTAGTTATATGTCCAGGTTCAAAGCTTATGCGAAAACGAACATTATTAGCTCATCACTGTGCAGTTTCTTTTCGTATATGATTATTCAGGTCTGGCTTGCCTTAATTATCTTCGAAGATCCTTTATCTTTGACTTAAGTGTGACTCAAGAGGCTGGTGGGTAGATAAATTACAGCCGAGTAGAGCATGGGAAAATCGTAAATTACCAACATGTTGTCGGGAAGCCCGATTGCGGCATCAATGAGTTATCTCCGAATATTGTATATCAAGCGCTAAACAGATTGGTCGTTCTCCATTAACCTGTTGAAACGGAACTGACATGTCCTTGTTAGGCAAATCGATCGAACCGACATTCATATGGAAGTCAGTTATAGGAAGAAGCTAATGCGACAACTAAGGGTGGCTGACTGAAATTTGGTTGAAAGAATCTGAGCAACATCAAAACAGCATAGCTAAAATATCCCTATACTTCCTTGTAAAGCACAACGGCAAGTAATTCTGGTCGTTTTTGCACGCGTGTAACATGTTGTCGTGGCATTTTGTAGAATAAATCAGGAAACTCGGTTGGATTTGGTTAAGTTGTACTGAAGAGATGTAGTTTTAAATACTTTTATGAGCTCTCATGCAGTTGACGACAGCAGACAGTGGCAATAAACATTTATCTTTATTGAACACCCCTAAAGCTCGACGATTTTATGCAGTATTAGTAATGGCTGATCATGTTTGCTGTTTAAATCCAAAGCAAGTGACTTGGAATTGCAGTCTATCAATACTGTTGAAAATGGTTGTCGAAATCTTCGTAAATAAGTAGCTCTCCACATGAAAAACTGACTATGTTGTGTGAAGTAAGGTATGTGTTTCAAAAGCTGTCTCCTTTGCTGAAACAAGTTTGTAAAAACAACTCTCTTTCCTCGGGGTTGGAGAAAAAATTAGCACCCTTAGGTAAAATTGATATAAACACCAGAAACAAATAAGCTTATACAGGTAGACACAGCATAACGTGACATTAAATAGCATGAAATATTAGCTGGATGAATTACAAAGGACAGTTTTCAGTACTGAATGTGTGGTCACTTAAGTGCACCTGCGAAGAGGAAGTGGTAATCTGTCGTTCATGAACACATGAAATGAATTTATTTAGTTATCAATGTCTCAGTAATAATGAGTGGTAACTTTCCGTTCAACAGCAAGTTAGCGAGTATCACCTAATATTTTGGCTATCTAAAATCCACTTAGCATCTATTCCTTTATCCGTCCGTATCCATACAAATGAAATCGAGCGACCACTGCCAAAGTTATCAGTTATCAAGGAGCATATTCACTCCTTGCTCTTTGTATTGTGGTTAGAATCCATACTGGAAACTTCTGAATATTGTTCGTATAAAGTGATCCAAAGGTAAATACCAAAGCAAGTTTTAGTTACAAGTCTGCATTAGGAGAGAAATAACCTCAGTTAACGCTTTTGTCTTTGCAACTGGAATATTTGCAATCGAGCAGCACAGCCTGAAAATATAAGAATAGATGCCAACTGGCAGACATATACGCTTCCATTGCCCTCAAATCGGTGACAGAAAATTCATGACCAGTCTGTTCTCTAACTTATTCGACAGCCTGAATTAAGGATGATGATAATACCAGTAATGGTCTCAGATTTTCCTTGTGCCCTGAGGCCAGTCGCCTCGTTCTAGGATCGAAAATCATTCACGAACTTTCACAAGGATGGTTATATATCATTCGTCATGACTTCATCATGTACTTATTCTGTCATAAAACCACGCGAAGCATTGGCTGGAAGTGTAGTAACTTGGGTCTGAAGTGTCGTTTTAGATTTACAGTTCTCGCGGTTTATCAATCATTCCAAAACCCTGTAGCCCATGTTTACGACCAATCGCACACTTGAAAACAACAAACGTATACTTAAATCAAGTGTCACATAACGAGCGGTTTCTATTTTTATGTAATGAGTATGAGCATTATAAAGTATATAAGGATCTTTATCTTACGTGTTGGAAGTCATCCAACACTGTCCTGAATTCCGCCTTCCTCATGAACCGTCTGAGCAGCAGGTCAACCGATCTATTTCTCGAAAAAGGCAGGAAAATGGGACTGAATTGGCAGAAAACAAAACAAAAATTTATTATTGGTGGGAAAATTTATCAACCGCGTCGCACAAGTTACTATTAACACTAATGGAAGAATACAACGGCTCCAAACTCTCTGACTATTAGTGGGACGATGTGAGAAACAGATTGTCGAACTACAGAATCATGTGTGTTTATTTTCAATCACGTTATACACACTCAGATATAATAGACTCTCCTCAAGATATTTTCCAACCGATGTATTTCGAACAATGCTTCACAGCAGCAAACAACGCTAAAAAAGCAGAAGATCATAGGTTATGTTGTCAGCGACGACTGGTGGCTTTTAGGCGTAAAAATACCACGTGAACATAATAGCACCCGAGAATCCTGTTAGCATACAAGCACGCAAATGACCTCAGGCACTTCAAACACGGAATGGCCACTGTAATTCAGGGCAGTCAAGATCATGGGAAAAAAGATTTAAGCATGAATGTTAACTACTTAATTATCACGTCATTATACTTCCCACTATTCCGTACTGAATGCTATTCAATCCCGTATGTTTGAAAAAGACAATTTTGCTCTCAAACTGTTCTTTCCCACAATCTAAGTGAAGGCCTATTCGGTCGTTAATCTGGTTTCTTCAACTGATAAAACGAGGGGCATCTATCAGCACGTAACATGTAATCACAATAAATTTGACAAAAAGTGCACTTACTCTCCATTAACATCATGTACCTTTACTAAAATCGTTCTGTTGATATTAACTCGTAACACTACCGGATATCAGAAATAAACAAAGGATTCAGCAAACTGAAAAAAATCAAATTAGGTTATCGATTGAAGAAGGCTGGAGGTTTACTATGGTTTCCTGCTAGCATGTGCTTTATTGAATAGATTATTTAATGGTTTAGATACCACTCGGTGAAAAAATTTGTATACCGAATGGGTTTTATTTCTTACATGCTGTTTACTCAATGATATTCTGATATAACTGAGAGAAAAACACATGAGTAAAATTCAAAATACATTTAAATTTCTATGTAAAACAATCAAACCGTCCTTTTTTTCAGTGCTTAGGTAGTGGAACCCTGTGTGTTCCTAGGTTTCTTGATTTCTCGGTAAGACATGTATCTCCAGTACTGAACGTGTCGCAGTTCTTTGTGTTCTTTCCAAAATATAAGAGTTATTTTTTTAAACACTTCTGTCATAAATACTACTTTCTGAAGTGAAACACTTTTGAACTCTGCAAACTGTAACTAACGAATTCCTCTCTGACCTAAGGAAAGTTTTTTGCAAAGCCAACATTATTTTGAAATATGTAGCTACATTTTCCTGAGGAAGAAGGATCCACCTCTTATATCATATTGTTGTATGATTATCCCAAATCGTGATCATGATCAAGTGAAAGGTGGTAGACGTCATTCAATCTTTCGAAATCGTTCGACTGAAAAAAATTCAAACCACTGACTCGAGGTGCTTTCAAAAACCTCCCGAGGTTATGAAATTTGCAGTCTGTCTGGCTACCTATTTATCAACCACTAATAAATTCCTTGTCATCGTAGAAGCAAAGTTTCGGCAAGGTTCATCCTTTTTTATCATCAACGCTCGTCATGAATGTCTAAAACTATTGGATCTTTTCAGCTTAGAATGAACAAGCGAAACAATGGTGAAACTATAGAAAGCTAAAACATCATGAACCGTAATATCGTCAATCCTAACACATAAATCATGGTAAATACTGGGAATTTGTAGGTGAAACGTGGTAGGTTGAACCAAAGGAACAAGTTTTACTGTTTACGAGTAGTCGAATCTTGGAGTACCGTTCCGGCTCATACTAATTTACTAACACCAGCGAATTCATGATTTCAGGTGTATACCTTATAATAACTGTGATCCACAAATACCAGACAAAGTGGTTCATTTGGGACGAATTTTTTTTGCTTCATCCAAAACCATTTAAGCCGTTTGAACAATTGTCTCCAGGTCATAACGTAACAATAACCGCTGAACCAGTCAAAAAAGTTATGATGTGTTTATAAAATAAAAAATGAATAAGATTGTGATGGGTTTTTCTTTGCAGGTTGTTACCTCATGAGTGCTAATTCATCCTAAACAAAAACGGGTATGTTTGTTTTTATAAACTATTTCAAGTGTTAGTAGTACTCTAATTACCATCGGTGGTAAATTGGAAATGTCGTCGTCAGATCCGTATGAGTGTCTAGCAAATGAGAGTAAAATTATCGAAAAGCACACTGAACAAAGGCTGCAAAATGATCACCGAATGGATAATCTTATTCTTTTAGTATATGTAGTGCTTCTAACTCTTTCTGTCATAACAATTTGGGCTTTTAAACATAGACGCTTTCGATATATCCACGAAACTGGCCTTTCAGTGGTATATGGTAAGTTTCATCATTTGGTTCATAACTTGTAGGACTGGCCGTTGGTCTTATACTTAGATATGCTATAAAATCTTCAAATTATACCGTGGAGATGCATGTGTTTTCACGGAAAAATGATGAAGCGTGCGGTGGTCGTTTGCCTCCAGAGAGACTGATTATTGAGTTTCCTGTCCGTGACCAGTACGGAAAGTTCAATTTAAGCATGTCGTTCCGGTACAAATTCGAGCAGCAATCGGATTTCAACTCTTTAATCAACAACAAGGTATTATAATTTGTCTCTTAACTTTCAGGCTACGTTCGACCCGGAATTCTTCTTTAATGTTTTACTTCCTCCTATAATTTTCTCAGCAGGTTATAGTATGAAACGCGTATGTCTGATTCCAACGCAGATTCATTTCTAGGGCTACTTTTTCAAAAATATTGGAGCCGTTCTTACTTATGCATTTGGTGGTACTTTGTTGTCCGCTCTAGTTGTTGGGTAAGCTGAGAGCATTATTTTAAATTTAAACAGAACCATTTGCTATGGCTTCACCCGTGGAATTACTTCATTGTCTCAAACGTTGCGTCTCTCAGACTGCCTTTTGTTTGGAGCTATTATATCTGCTACTGATCCTGGTAAGAATTTATCACTTTGCTATAGTTTTAGTAACTGTTTTGGCCATCTTTAGTGACTTGAAAGTTGATGTCAACTTGTATGCACTCGTATTTGGTGAGAGTGTTCTTAACGATGCTTTAGCAATTGCCTTAGCCCAGTAAGTTACATTCTGCTGGTTTATTTTGGTTACTAAATTTCGGTCTTATATTCAGTAAGCAGTCTTTAGTATCGATAAAAAACAAAGTAAATTTGATTTTACAGGTCGATCGAGAAATATGGATCAATTTCTGCTGGTAATTTCGATGGCCACGCTTTCCTGTCTTCTGTGTTAAACTTTTTTATAATGTTTGGAGGTTCATTCGTCACTGGCGTTTCTATTGGCTGTGTAACGTCTCTTCTTACAAAATTTACACACATCAAGGAGCATCCTCTACTGGAAACAGCTTTGTTTGTTCTAATGTCTTATAGCACATTTCTTTTTGCTGAAACTGTTGGGTTTACGGGTCAGTCACGTGTATATTATATTTTATTATACTTCGATGAATAGTTCTCGTATAGCTAATTTGGTTATTTTCACTCTTAGTTGACATAAAGCCGATTATCAGGAAAAAGATCACTGTACTGAAATGAACAAAGTTGATTTTGTTGCGAGACTTATCATAATGCTATATAACTAGATGACCATTTTCGACTAAACATCACTATTATTGTATGCAAGCTAGATATATTTAATTAAATAAGTTACATCACTGGTACTTATGTGGTGTGCTACTTAAATGGGCAGATGTAAGTAGTATGTACTAGCAACCGAAAATGGAATCCTTGATGAAAAAAAGGAAAACTGAAAGCGATCAAAATAACAACATGAGTGGTAGTTGGAGTTTGTATGAGATAACTTAAGAAAGATGTATAATTAACGTGTTTAATGTATTGTTTTAATGTTTTACAAATGCAATATATGATGTTGCATATTACAAAATACTGGTCTACTACCCAAGACTTCGTTTATTACACTTACACCAAAAGTTATAGGTAAAGACACTAATCTATTATTGGGTTAGCTTAATTGGAACTCCCTGGAGATCAGGAATGACACAAAGTTATGCAAGTTTCCGGGTTATTTTTTGCTCGTTAAAATATGGTTAAATCTGAAGTTACTCATACTGCGATAAATATTCTTCTGTCCCGTCTCATTTAATATGAGAGCGATATTTTAATTACAATTATTTATAATTAGTTCGATTTTAAACCACATCTGAATAATATTTGATCCTTGTCCTGTAAGTTATATCGTCCATTTGATAAACTGGTAGTTTTATGATTTGTATTCTATGTGATTCCAATAAATGGCAAAACATTATAGTCAAGTTTTAAATATCCTTTTTATAAAGCAAAGTTTTACCTCCATTATTTTGTTTATTTGCTACATTTAAGTCTAGTTGTCTTGGTAGATAGCGCAATTGATAAGTTTTACTACAATAATCCACATTACAGAAAAATTGAATAAAGCTTTGATATCAAAAGTTTTCAGTGGGTGCATATTATGGTCTAAAGAATTCTAACTATAGTTTATTAGTATACTCATTACTTATCCTTACAAGCCTAGTGTTCGCTTGTAATTGACGCTGTAATCCGTGATAAACACCATAAAAAGCCTTCCATTGTATAATGAAATTAAGTAAACTACGTTAAGATAGTTATTTTAAAAATATCAATAAACTGACCAATGACAATCTTGAACAAACTGATTCTCCTACAAGACCATCTTTAATTATGGTATATTAAAAATCATATAAGTGTAAAATAATGTATATTCTAGCAAAATTCAAACCAACTAATTTTGTATGCAATCGTATTTTTATCAACCAAATTTAGATATTCTATATTTCACAGATTGAAATCATGAGTCAGTTGAAGCTAGACCACCATTGAAAACCTGGAAGCACTGGACGGCCGTTTCGTCCTAGTATGGGACTCCTCAGCAGTGCGCATCCACGACCCCGCACCACCCGGGGCTCGAACCCAGGACCTACTGGCTTCGCGCGCGAGCACTTAACCATTAGACCACTGAGCCGGCATCCAACGGTGTTAATGTCTAACTTCAACCAATCCACGAAGTTGCGCTACCGTACACCATTGTCTTCAGTGAGTTCCTATCTCACAACAGACCTGGTTGAACTCCACTGGTAACGACTTCTCACTAGAACTCCAGAAGTGTCTCCTGAAGTCAGTCACTAGTGAGCAGTTGATTATTATTATCAGAAAGGGTGCGGGGTCGTGGATGCGCACTGCTGAGGAGTCCCATACTAGGACGAAACGGCCGTCCAGTGCTTCCAGGTTTTCAATGGTGGTCTAGCTTCAACTGACTCATGATTTCAATCTGTGAAATTTCTAAAATCTCCACAAAACCCTTTCTGATAATAATAATCAACTGCTCACTAGTGACTGACTTCAGGAGACACTTCTGGAGTTCTAGTGAGAAGTCGTTACCAGTGGAGTTCAACCAGGTCTGTTGTGAGATAGGAACTCACTGAAGACAATGGTGTACGGTAGCGCAACTTCGTGGATTGGTTGAAGTTAGACATTAACACCGTTGGATGCCGGCTCAGTGGTCTAATGGTTAAGTGCTCGCGCGCGAAGCCAGTAGGTCCTGGGTTCGAGCCCCGGGTGGTGCGGGGTCGTGGATGCGCACTGCTGAGGAGTCCCATACTAGGACGAAACGGCCGTCCAGTGCTTCCAGGTTTTCAATGGTGGTCTAGCTTCAACTGACTCATGATTTCAATCTGTGAAATTTCTAAAATCTCCACAAAACCCTTTCTGATAATAATAATCAACTGCTCACTAGTGACTGACTTCAGGAGACACTTCTGGAGTTCTAGTGAGAAGTCGTTACCAGTGGAGTTCAACCAGGTCTGTTGTGAGATAGGAACTCACTGAAGACAATGGTGTACGGTAGCGCAACTTCGTGGATTGGTTGAAGTTAGACATTAACACCGTTGGATGCCGGCTCAGTGGTCTAATGGTTAAGTGCTCGCGCGCGAAGCCAGTAGGTCCTGGGTTCGAGCCCCGGGTGGTGCGGGGTCGTGGATGCGCACTGCTGAGGAGTCCCATACTAGGACGAAACGGCCGTCCAGTGCTTCCAGGTTTTCAATGGTGGTCTAGCTTCAACTGACTCATGATTTCAATCTGTGAAATTTCTAAAATCTCCACAAAACCCTTTCTGATAATAATAATCAACTGCTCACTAGTGACTGACTTCAGGAGACACTTCTGGAGTTCTAGTGAGAAGTCGTTACCAGTGGAGTTCAACCAGGTCTGTTGTGAGATAGGAACTCACTGAAGACAATGGTGTACGGTAGCGCAACTTCGTGGATTGGTTGAAGTTAGACATTAACACCGTTGGATGCCGGCTCAGTGGTCTAATGGTTAAGTGCTCGCGCGCGAAGCCAGTAGGTCCTGGGTTCGAGCCCCGGGTGGTGCGGGGTCGTGGATGCGCACTGCTGAGGAGTCCCATACTAGGACGAAACGGCCGTCCAGTGCTTCCAGGTTTTCAATGGTGGTCTAGCTTCAACTGACTCATGATTTCAATCTGTGAAATTTCTAAAATCTCCACAAAACCCTTTCTGATATTCTATATTTGCTGATAATACTCATTAAATTATTGTTACTAGTTTGCTTGTTTGCAACTGATCGTATCGGAAACTTAATCATTTTCTAAATATACATTTTTTTCCAGTTATTCTAACGTGCATTACCCATATTGACACCTTCGTACCGTTCTTAATTTGTGGAATTCTTTCTTTTTTGAACAAGTTATTTCATGCACTAAATAACAGCTCCAATTTTACTGTCAAAGCGTTTTGTTTTATGCGCGGTAACTACTTTTAGTAGAAAATGAGGAAATCCGTATGATCACTAAATCTCGTTATTTGCATCAACATATAGCTGTATGTTGTGTACACTAACGTCCTTATTATTTTGACTACACAATATTATATTGAAAATAGGGCTGCATAATTGTTTTGTCAATCCTAATGAGTGTATTTATTATGAAGTCATCAGTAGCCTAAGTTAATTTTTAGTTTCTATTGGCCAAAACTACCCGTGCCTCACGGTCAATAAAACTGTACATGTTATGAAAAGAACTGACTCAGAGAAGCCTTCATATATTTTCAAATATCAGATCTTAAAGTACTTCGCTTTTAACTGAATAGAAGTAGCCCAACAACCTTCTTTCGTACAATCATTACTGTTTTTGCCTGCAGAGTGTGTGCCACTATATAATCCAGAACTTATGCACCAAATACCAGTTGAAATCTCGTCTGAGGTTTTCTGCCTTTCGCAAAACTATCATGAGGACGTTTAATATACACTTGTTGTCACTGACTTTTTTTAGCTTAATTTTCCTCGTAAGTTCATTGAATCACAGTTTTCCGAACTGATTTTTGGTTAGTTTCTTAATCTCTCGAATATTCGTTTTGACACATTATATGCTATACTTAGTTACCATCCTGAATCTTTGCTTTCAATTTATTTTTTAGCCGTACGCTTTTTGACCACTTCAGTTGCAACCTCTGTCGTGTGAATGTGTCAAATTTTTGTAGTCTTTGAAAAATATTTTATTCTTTTTGAGATATTTATATGTTACTTTTTTAACAAGTAGAACATAGTTGATGTTCAATACAGTCATTAGGTTTGTTTTTTCATATTTCCTGACAATTCATCAAAAACCGGATAACAACTAGAAGACTACTACAATAAGATTGTTGACTTTCTGGATACTGTTTGTTAGATGTAAGATCTACATAGTTTACTTACGTTTTGGAGAAGTTACTTAATTTTATTGATTAAATATGCCTTTCCTTCGTTAAGATAGCTGGTCAACACCTATTTTAGAGTTTAGCGTTTACACAATGACAAAACTATCACCGTAAAATCAAATTTTTTAAACTCAGTCCTAATCATATGGAATTTAATGAGCTTTCTACTGCGAGATCTCTCACAGATGTACTGGTTGGTTTTTCAGCATTTATATCAATAAGAAATCATCAGCTTATCGAACTTATTCTTTGTGTGTAACATAAACTCGTTAGCGTAAACTTTCAAAATTATTTTTTAGTGTTTTATTTGCGTTATTATTTTATTACTGATTGTCAGTTTTATTGGCAAATTTCGTAAATCATTAACGAAATAATTAAGTACTTACTAATTTTGGAACTGAACTTAGACATGGCAGCTAGTGGAGTCATTTGGTGTTGACTGTATTTTCATCTTGAAACCGTGATATGTTAAAATATGAAACCTATAAATTCAAAGCGCAAACAACATTTTTCACCATATTTGGTGAAATAAGTAATTATCAGAATTTACATGTGTCTTCTCTTATGCAAATATTTTATATCAGCCATCAATATAGCGTTTTTACTTGTCTAACGTACACTTGTTTACTTACTTCTATCTCATTTCATACGTCAACTTAATATTTCATTTATTTTTAGGTATTGTTTCCGTGTTGTTCTGTGGTGTGACTCAAGCACACTACACTTATAACAACCTATCCCAGGAATCTAAAGTATGGACAAAATCTGTAAGCTTTCCTTTTATTAAATACTCGTACGAATAAATATATGAAATAGTTTCTAAGATCGGGAAATCGTTCATAAGTGGCACCATTCATTTCTGAATTTTGACCAGTCGCACATAGTTGCAATAATCATGGAGTAGCGATGGTTTGGTTGTGCATTACTTCTCGTTTTGATTAGCCTTGTACATCATGAAGACACACTATAATAGGAAACATAGAATAACCTTTACTGCTGTCTAAAGTGTTGGACCAAATAACATATCTACGGGCGTCCAGCTGTATAATCTTTTGTACCTCATATAAACCGGGATCGGTCAACAGATGCTAGTACAGTATAGTTATCCACCATCCTTTCTTGTCATTTCATAGACTATAATCTTTCAATTACTTCTATCAGTGGTAATGTTATGTCCACACCGCCTATTAATTGTACTTGAAAAATAACAATCCATTACAATTTCTTCAGCGCTAAGAACACAGAATATTGGTATAAGTGAAGGTCTGTTCATCCCCAAAACAGGACGACCCTAGTTCAAAATACGCTCATTCATATCTCGATTTGCACATCCATTTGATTAACAATTAGGAAATCAAAGAAGGAACGAATCGAGCGAAAAAAAATTTTTCAATTGGAAAGAAATTTCTTCGTCCGATTCGTCTCCTCTTTATTTACCAAATGTCAAAATGAGAATTATTACTATAAGTAGGAAAATGTCACTCACATGAAATTACAACAATCTTATGCTATATATCATGCTGAACATAGTTCATGTTGATTAAATTCAAAGAATATCATATCTTGAATAAATATTGCACTGAAATCAGTGTTATACTAAACAAAATATCCCACTGAAAAATAAAATAAATATTAAACTGAGTAATCATCGTATTAAATTAAAAGCGGAAGTAATGTTGAAGAAAAAACTCATAATGAGTCAGAAATGTAATTTTCCCTTTTGAACCCATCATATCAGTCGAATAATGGGCGATATACAAACTTCTGCTTTGTGGTTAGACCAGTCAACTTTCGACTATTTCGACACAGTTTTTACCCAAAAGCTATCCCTTACATATCAGGAGCATGGTATAGATAACAAGCTGTGATGTACTGACGACATCCTTATTCAAACAGATTATTCAGAATGATACCTGTTATCTTGAATTCAGTCTAAATAATTAGATTTTGTGAAATGCTTTGTTAGAAGTTAAGTCACTTTCCTGCACCTAAATAAGGTAAAGGGTGGAACATTTCATGATAAGAACTATTTCGATCTTCGAAGTTCTATTTGTTTAATAGTTTATGAAATAAAATGAGTGTATTCAAAACTCTTCCCCAAGTAGTTACCTTTTAATAGTTATAATAATATGTAAAAATCAGAGGATTTACTAGTAAAAGTTAGTTTACCGATGACATATCTGTATGTCATGTTCGAAGCCAGCTTCAGGCTTACAATGACATTTTCTAACTTTCAGTCTAACAATATTTTCAAAAGTTTACTGAATATACTACCTGAAATACCTCGTTATCTTATTTCATCGCGATGTTTAGAAAACTATAGACAACATTGTACTCAAAAATCGTATCGATCGGTAACTTAAGTAATTCGGCAGCCTGCAACATTTATGAAGTAAAGAGGGAGTTCTCACAGAAACTTGTACACGTGACAGTTAAGTAAAGGAGTTCTTCTAGAATTATTCGTAAGCCTGTCGTAATTAGAAACCGTCGTTTGAAATAAATCACTTCTGAAGTTTAAGGAACGAACTATCATGTTTCAATATCGAAAAAAATATCTTGTCCTCTTTCTAGACTTTTTATTTAGTAGGTATATCAATATATACTCTAAATCTCTACTGTCTGCCAATTCGTAATGCTACCCGAGCTTGCTTATCGTGAAATCCAGGCCTATGTATGTTTACTGGAACACTTGTTCTTTGAGGTCTATCACGTAAGCAGAATTGTTGGATAGCAATATGAACAAAAACACCAAGTGCGAAGTCCATCTCTACTGGAGTATGGCTGCAATAAGACTTTTCTTATGGCGAACCATTATCACTAACTCTCCGAAAACGAACGGGGGGTGTAGTGACGTTTGGCTTTAAAAACAGTGCACATTGTCCCACAAATTTCTAGCGTCGACTGTAAGGTTTACAAAGCACGGAGTTTATGTAGAAAGCTACTTACAAAAAGTCTACGTAACGAGCATCAAGTATCTATCTCCTGTGCTATGTGGTCGTGCTCCTAGATCTGTGTAACCGTCATTACTAATCCGATATCAGTCAGGTTCCTGAGAGCGAAATTTCATCTTACTACGTAAGCAACCAGAAACTGTCAACAGACCATACGCACGTAGCAACGTACAGGACACCAGTTTGTGATACAGGAAGTTTATAGACACATTTTATTTATTCATTTGAATTATTTAGATCAAGTTATAAAGTATTAACTTAATTTGATGATTATTTATTTTGATTTAGTTTTTTGAACTACTTAACTTCTTGTCGGAAAACTTTGTTTTCGCATATATCGGTGTTTCAACGTTTACTTTCCCTCATCATTATTGGAATGCTCGATTTGTATTTATCGCATTGTTCTCATGTGTAATTGCTCGGGCAGTCAGCGTATATCCACTTACAGCCCTCATCAACTTTTGTCGAACTTATCAGTGTTCCTGTTCTGCGAAATGTTTGAAGCGAAAGTTTGGTTCCAATTCTCAACTGTCTTACTCTAGTGATAAACATATTGTGCCTGGATCATCATTTTTGTCGAATTCAATTGATTCAGGTAGTGTCGCAGTTACTTCAGCTGATAATAACAGGAAGGATAAATCTAACAAAATCACTTTAAATTTTCAACATATGATCTTTTTCTCAGGCCTTCGGGGTGCCATGGCTTTTTCATTAGCGATTCGCAATACAAGTTCTGAAATACGTCGGATGTTTTTTTCAACGATTATTGTAATAGTTATGACTACGGTGTTATTGGGAGGTTGTTTTGCCATATCGTTACTTCACAGATTGCAGATACCGTAAGTTTTTATGGGTGTGTTAGTGTTATTCAAAAAATAATGTGACATGACGTAATTTCTCCTTTTACCTTCAACCACTTAACTATACTCAGATGTGAACCTTATCAAGTTATCAAACTTACAGAGCCTCCGAATGCCCTGATACGGCCGAGAGTGGGGAGAGTCTGCTCTCCCTCTTGACGTGCTCTCACACGGCCACGCGTACATAGCCTCTGCCAGGGAGGTCCTACTCACTGCCATCTCATGGCAGGGGTGTTGTTTACGAAATTGAGAGGACGAAAAGCGAATGTCTGGTGCTTTAACCGAGTTGGTGGACATGGAGAGTCCACCTAGGGTAGTTGGAAAACCCTGATTCCGAACCAATGGTGCACATGGGCTCCAGTATTCTGAAGGAACAAACGGCGTATGAACCAATCGTTGGTCACCGGCTACCATGGGACTGCATCTCCTTACGATGCTCCGCTGCCTTGTGGATTAGACCTTCAAGTCGAAGGCTCCGGGTGTGGCCCCCTAAGAAAACCACCTGCTTCGGTCTGGGCACTCTGGCAATATCCCAGCCATCACACAAATCGAATGATTTATGTTGCGCATATGTATTTGGTGACTCCTTGCACCAAAATCTATGTGTTAAAATTAATTAATTTAAAAAAACTTACAGTAGATTACAGTACTGCATAACACTACTCCGGATTCAGGTATAGGGTATCTAAATTCAACGTACAAAATTGCTCTTTGAAGTCAATTAAAACATTGGTATATCTGTTATGCACGTTATTATGAGTTTTTGATGTTGCAAATGTAATCCGGACCTGTTACCTGTTTATTCAAAAACATAAAGCTATCATCCTCATCGTGAAAGCTAGACGTACTTTTCGACTTCCGTCGCTGGTCACTGCCAGACATAAACGCACGATATATCCGTTTAAAGAGACTGTAGCTGGTCTATTCAGTCGTGAAAATCAACGGGAGAAGGTGCCTGCTCTTACTTGAAGTTTCGTAAATTCACTATAAATATTTAAGTTCTTAACATCAGTAGCTGAAATTTAAAATGTTGGTTATGGTATATATATATATATATATATATATATATATATATATATAAAGTGAGATTTTCTTATTGAGATGATTCTGATATCATCCACATCGTTATAACAAACGTTTTCTCGTCGTTCATGTTATATTACTAAATATTTTTCTCACAGTTGCCTTAGCAATTTTACGTATCGTGATCGTATGGTGTTAGCTTAATTTTTCTTGTCATTTGTCTGGCTGAGAGTCGCCTTATGTATATAGTTACAAAGATTTCATAACGAATGACACACATCCACAAATTTTCCTAAGGAATCAGGATACTGAAATTGTTGATTATGGTATCCAGCTACTGATTTTCATGTTGAGCTACAGAACTGTGACTGACCGACTCAGGTTTAGTCGTGGCCATATTATAGTTCGAAATCATGGATGTAAAATGTGTATAATTGAATTATCAAATTAATGGGATTCTTTTGGGATTTTCTTGTTTAGATGCTGGATTCAAACTATCTAATCGAAAATAACATTGTTCGCTCACATATGTTGTTCTAGTTTACAGTATAGGAATTTTTTGTATCTTCATGTCATAAATCGTTTTTTTTTCGCATTTCAATTTATTTAATTGGCGATTCGTTCTTGTAAATGTATTAATAATTTCTGTTTTATGGATTGATGTAAAATGCTTATTAAGCTGTTCCCTTCGTTTATATTTAGTGTTGGTGTAGATTGCAACAGTAAAAACCAAGTAAGTCATGAAGTGAATCTCTTGCCATTGTTTTTTGATTCCCATAACTTTATGCTTATGCATATGAGTTTGGATTCGATTAGAATTTATACTGAAAACAAGTTAGAAATAGTGATGATCTTTTTAGTAAGATAAATAGTTTATAAAAATCATGATTAACTGACTACCAATAGCTACACAATAATGTTGAGGTTGTACCCGATTCATCAGAAATAAACTTAGTCAATGTTTTGACCAGTCGGTCAGTACGTAATTTTCAACCCTTTTTAGTTATTTATGTTAAACATTCTGGTGAAAACAGATATTTTATTTATCACAAAGAAATGGATTTTATGGTTAATTATATAATATAAGGTAGATAAGTAGGTACCAATTAATTGAATCTTATTGCATTTAATTAAGCAAAACTTTCCTTCCAATCTTTCTGATAATTCACTATCATCAACGCTTGGTAGCTCGTTATTAGTACATGTGTGTAATTAATCTAGATTTCTCGAAATATAGCTAGTGTCTTCTTGTTTGAGTTTATTTAAATTGTGACATTTACTGAGAGATAATTATATGTACAAATTCTAGGGTATTATGACATCAAATTTATTAACTGGTAAAAATAGCATCGTAGGCACTGATTCAAATTTTTCCGTGAGTGTTAAAAGATTTATTCGAAATAGTGTTAATTAGCTAGTTTCAAACCATATTCCGTAATATTCTTTTCAATATACCGGTTACGTCATTGGTTAAGTTAGAAAATAACTTTGCATACTACTTAGTCATCCATTTTTAAGAAAAAACATGTGGCTTGTCATATTAATTTATCAATCTTCATAACTACACTTACTTTGGAAGCTAGAATCCAAGTAACTAAATAATTATGCTTCAGAAGTTAATTTTAAGTAACCCACAATAATATATTTTTTAGCTTAAACATATGAGAAGTGTTCTAATCTCCTAGCTTGTCTGACTTTTCCTAACGTGGTGTATTATTATCGCCTTTATTTTAATGTCAAATCAAAACCGTGATGATTATTCTTTCTAGCCGCATACAGATACGGAAGAAGATTTGGTTGATGATCATAGTTGCTGTAGTTCTCATTGGATGAGTTTCGATAAATTGTAAGTGATCGTTTACATGAATTTGCATGCCTTTCATATCACAGGGCTATTGTATTGATTAACACTATTTTTGTCAGAGCCCATAATAAAATTTATTTTATTCATTCCTAATCTAAATTAACTGAGTATGATAGTTTCCCCGTCAGTTGAGTTTAGGTGTTTCATTCACAAAGATTGACTTTACGTTTTGGTTTTGATATCAATACAGTTGTGCGTTGTGATTTGTCAGCTTCTCCAACTAAATAGGTCAGGTCGTTCGCTGGATTCATTGTCTAAATCACATTATTTTAACACCTTGTTACAGGTAGTTTCTGTATCAATCGAGTCCTTTTTCGTACCTTCAGAATTAAATGACTGATCAGCTTGGTTAAAATATTCTCCTGAAATACTACCTAATAATTATCATCTGTCACTTTAAATATTCCATAAATAAAATAAGTTTATTTTATAAACAGTTTTAGACTCAGAAGTTTCCGGTAAAAACATCAAATGAATTACGAAGAATACTTTCCTATCACTTCATGATAATTGCATTTACACGTCTTAGATATATTAAGACTTGTATTTATTGTAATATTGCGGGTAATATAACTAGTTTGAGAGTAGTATGTTTTATCCTTCATCTCCTGTCAGTGTGTTATTTTTTAAAGTATTTGGTTAGGGAAAAGTGAAATAACTGTTTTGTAGTTTGTCATGTTTAAGATAATCAAAAAGAAACTATCTAATTAGTAAAAAGTTACCATAGGGGGTTTATAGGAGTCATTAAATCCAAACATACTTTATGTCACAGATTGACTTCATCTTAACAACCATTATCGATCAGGGAAAATTGGTCATTCCATTTTGGGACTCTTTAGGAGCCTGCAATCCCAACCATGCTGGTAATCGTATTTGAGATCAAAAAAGTTTTGGTGTGCAATTTGCATATTAACCACTCGTTTGATGTACAATGCCCTGTGATATAACCTGTCTTAATTTACTAGAAAATGCCAGTAGAATTACGTTTACAGCAGGTTAGAGCGTTGCGCCTACTAGATATTAGACTGTTGTGTTATAATATAATTCAACGTCTCGCGCTTCACTTTATGTTGACTAATATTGAAGCTAAATTGTAAGTAATTTTAGTTTGTTACTCTTTTTGCAGCTATTTGAAACCATTACTTACACACAGCACTCCACCACTGACCGAATCATTACCATCATGTTGTTATAAATTTGCCAAATTACTTACAACTTTTGAACAAAAAAGTGGGACATTTGTCAATAACGATAGAAATAATAGTTACCCTGACAATTTTAAACGTGACAGTACTACTGTATTTTATTCCAATGAGAAGGCATCAATCAGTTCTACACTCAGTATGAATACTGTTAAAGTGCAACCTGTGGAAGTAAGCGCGTTTATTTGTGATTTTATTTTGTAATAAATTGCATTTTACGAAGTTTATCAGCGGGTTAAAATGAATTGTGTTTGAATAACCTATTTATTTAGCACTATATATATAATACATAATTTTTACGATTAAAATTGTAGAGGGAATTGAACCGATATCTAGCTTTTCAAATTAAAGTGGTTGATTATGTATGACAGAATTACTTTTATTGCGGTAATCGACTAAATTTACCAAGATTAAAATCATAAGTCTCTGATTTATGAATTTAATACCCGGGTATGTAATAGGCTACCACACCTGTCAAGTCATACGACTTAATTTTCAAAGTGTTAAATCAGCTTCTCTTTTTACCTTCATGAAACAAAAAAATGGACTGATTGTGGTATGTACTCTGTTTTTTTATTGTAGTTGGACAAAATAATGCTTAGGGTTTCTCGGTATCTGCTTGAAAAATTTATTTGCACATTACATAATATCTAATGAGAGGGCTTAGTTTGTTTTCTTCGTTTGCTTAAAATCTATCTGCTATGATTATCACTAGAATCCCGTGGAGCTAATGAACAAAATGTAGATATTTTGATTAATGATCAGCAGTAAGCTTAAATATTAAAAGTTTATTTTTCTGAAGTGTTTGAGTTTGTTAAAAATAAATGTTTTATACAGTTTCACTGTCTACAACGTTATCAACCAGCAAATGCTTTATTATCATCAATATTAATATTAATGTAAATGCTTATTTTATCTTCTCACAGTTGACAATAAAGTCATGTCGGTCTCACTTACATACTAGTAGCATAAATGGTTTGATCGGACTACATAAGGATAAAAAAGCAGTCAATGTTCATTTCGTTTTTTCTCGTAATATGATACAATTCATATTTTGACTAAAGTTCTGTCGTTTAGCAAAATTTATATTATGTATACATTCGTTTTGTTAAATCTCAGTGTATAAACCATTTTCGTAAACGTCTATGAGCACGTTTGATTATTAAAACAAATGAAAGTGATGTAGACTTTCTCATAGTAATTTCCTCATTTCAATGAGTAATAAGTTGGCATTTCATTTTCGCATATATATATATATATATATATATATATATATATATATATATATATATATATATATATATATATATATATATATATATATATATATATATATATATATTAATGACAATGATGATGGTGATTACAATCATTATTTATATAAATCCTATTATCTTAACTATGTCATTGTTGGTACTGTTGTTTCTTCTCCCTTTTTCACATTAATATTCATACTGAAAGTGTGCACAACTTATTCAACTAGACAGTGATAATGATGACACTAATATTAGTAATGATAGTAACAATAAGTTTAAGGTTAGTTCTGCTCCCTTAAAATTAAAGCACCGTGATACGAACTGCGCTCTTATAACTTTTTGATTTACTACATCTTCCCTAATTCCATATTCTCATATGTTGCGGTGATCTGCTAGGCTCAATCAGCATGCCAGTGTGTTCACTTGTAAATTAATCTGCATAGTAAATAAGTTTTTTTCATCTGTGAATTAACCCTACTAGGTTGTGTTTTTATGAGTACAGTAATAATGGTGAAAAACTATATTATTACTATTATTTGTTCTTTAATTTTCTACTAGGATAAAAAGATTTTATTTTCTAATTTCAGTTCTCATTTATTTTTCACTTGCTTCTATCCGATTCTGCTAACTTTGTGTGCTTGCCATACACTGACTAGCTTTCTGGTTTCTGTCTTACAATTGTTGTATTTCCTCCGGCTATTTTTGTTTGTATTGTGATTGGCTTTCATATAGCAATCATTATGCAAATATAGAATTGTAATTTTTAATGAACCTAAAATTATTATCTAGATATTAAAACAACAATAAGATATTATGTGCATAAAAGTACATATGTAAGCATGAGCTACATTTGTTAATCTTTTTTATTTACTCAATTTTGTCAAAATATTGATTGATAGTATAACGCTGTTGATTCTTTTAAATAATGCATAGTTGTCCATCCTGTTTTCTTGTCTATATCAGTGCAAAAAGTTGGAGACTAAAAATCGTATTTTCCGCGATACATAGATTTTCTTAAATGATTGCTTGTTGCTTATTATCTAGTTTATACGATATCTATTCAGCTAGGAAAGTATGATCAATGTTAGTGTTGTTGTTTATCTACGTATGTTACTTGTGTTTGTATATGTGTAGAAATTATTTGCATCATAACATAGGAATCATCTTGGATTATTCCAATTTTCATTAGAATTAATAATTAACTGGTAATTTGTTGATTGGAAAAAGTCACTAATCGTTAATCTAACCTGTTTGAGGTCTTTGTAGTGAAAAGGTTTATTAGCTAGAAACCCTGATTTACACCAAAGAAAATTGATCTCTGTTGTAATATTTAGATTAACTTGTCATTTATTTTGTTTTTCTCGTTATTATAGTTCTAATCATCCGTTGTCTTGCTTTGGCAAATGTTTTTCACTGTTCTTGTTGCATTTTGTGTTTCTCCTAGACATCTATGGTATTTAGAAAAATTAAAAGTTGAAGTACTGCCATTTTGAACTTCATTCTTTTTTTAATTGTCTTTTCCATCTTACCTTCATTAATACAGAATATTCAATCATTTGTAATTTTTGTACTATTTGGAATACATTAGATAGTTTGGTAAATCTTAAAATATATTTATATATTAAGTAACTGACTGTTAATCATAAGATTTAGTTTAAATATGAATATTTTATGGTTATGCTGTCTGTTCAGTTAGTTCACTTATCCTACCAAATGAATTATTATTATTATTATTATTATTATTATTATTCATACTAATATAGGTTACTCTAATATGAAAAAATGTAAAATAAAATATATTTCTTGTCATAAGCAATTATTAAACAGAACCATCCTATATGCATGCTGAAAAGAGTGATGTTTTGTGTACATGGGCTTAAAGAGATATTTTCATGCATGTATATTCAGTGAAAAATTCTAGTATTGTCACAAAAAGAGCGTCAGATAATTGACTTGATTCTGTTAGTTTTTGAGCCTTAGTTTTTGTGATAGTACTGTCTGTTGGTTAACTAAATACATCTTTGAAACAAAACTTCATAAATTTTATTTTTATGTTACCCATTTATCAAATTGCGTCATTTATGGCATAGATGATATATTCGTTGGCCAACCAAAGGAGATAAGTTTATATTTTTTGGCATGATTTACGGCTATTGACAGTAGAGGGTATTCGTAGGTTAATAGTATTTGATCATATCAGCCTTCAAGGTGTTGCTCGCGTATTCTGAGACCATCGAGATGGCTGTTCTGAGATTGTATGCGGAGTACTAGGTAATCATGAGAAATCGATCGGCGAGGTATTTAATTTCTATCGACTGGGATTATCAGGAAATATATTACGTATACCCATCCACCAGCGACCTCAACCGGCGATGAATGCTAGTGTAGGAATAGGTTAGGAGAAAGTAAGGGTCAGCCAAACCAAGACATGGCATCAGTTTACGAAGATACTGACTGTTGAACTAAAGCATCTACACATGTGTAGGTTACCTGGTTGGGGTCTGCGTAATTGAGTGAGATGGCCCAAAATCATTTGCAATGGTACAGGTACATTCACTCTTTGTATTACTGTAGGAATCAGGTTTCTTAATTATCTTATAATCCTGCTACCACCTCTATTACTGTTCGATTTACCCTGAGAATTTAATTTCGTTATGCTAATAGCATATGGCAGCTTGAACTTGTGTGTCAAGTTCGACATTTTGTATGACTGACTGGCTCACATTTACTAAAAGTAAGTTTATGTATTCGGCTTCGTACCAAGTTAGTTGTATAAGGACCGGTAGTACTACCGGACTGCCGAATCCGGACTAATGACCTACCGATTGGAAGTACAATGACTTAACCATTAAGGCACCGCCCCAAATACTTACGAACTGTTATTTAGACAATACCAATGTGTAATATGAACTAATTGTATACCTGCTGTAGAATTTTTCACCACGTCCCAGTTTGAAGTATGCGAAACGCTAGAAAATGCAAGTGAAATGTGTCATTTTCCATTAATGTTAGATTTCAGATCTATGTATGCTGATAGCAATGACTTAATAGCTAAATAAGTTAGAATTTCAACCCTCAGGTCTCACAATAGTGCCTTATCTGTCTTTGGAAAGTCTTAATATCGACGCTTGTTGTCTATCCGAGACCCGTATTCAAGACTCTGATGAAGTACTACAAATTCGCTCTCCATCTGTCGCTTCAAAAAGCTTGTTTTACGTGCGTTTATCCGCGGACCCTGTGGCATCTTCGTCTGGTCTTGTTGACGTTAGTGTCGCACTAAGCGCTAGAGCTGAGGCAGCACTAATCGATTGGATCCCCATTAACAGTCGGTTATGTGATGTTCGATTAGAAAGTTCCATCAAAGTGAGAAGAAATCGGCGTGAGAAACAATGTCTTTTCGTCATCTCCGCCTATGCCCCGACAGATTGCAGCCCGGATGCAATCAAGGATTAATTCTACCACCAGTTATCTGTTCTTCTCCAGAAAGTGCGTTCAACATATATTGTAGTACTAGACGGAGACTTGATTGCTCAGGTCGGGAGTCTAGGCACAGAAGAGAGTCCTCTAGGTGGTCGATGGGGACTTGTTGGTCTCAGGTCAGATAACGGGGACCATCTACTGCAACTGTGCACAGACGACAACCTGTTTCTGGCTAGCACTAACGTCCGGCACAGTCATCGCCGATGTGCCACCTGGCGTCCTCCCTCTGCATCCCAAGCCTGAACTCAGATTGATCACATTGCGATCAGCTACAGCTGCGCCAATCTTACCTTACTTTTCAGTGGCCAACAAAGTGACCGCCACCAAAGGATTGATTTCAGCACGTTGGTTGCAACTTCTGTTGCAAGTAAGTATCGAATCGAGCCAGCTTCTAGGCTAGCTACCATTCGACCGAAAAGTATAAATGAGAATTGGTTGCAACTTCATGATGTCGTCAAAATGGCGAGTAAAGCTGCCTGCGGCTTCGTGAAACGTCCCGCTTATAAACACTGGGTTTCTTCAAGATCCTTACAACTCATCGAAGCCCGTCGGTCTACTGTGGGTGACCGTGAGTTTGACCACAAACTGCGACTGTTACGTAATGAAATCGGGCGAAGCTTGCATAAGGACCGAGAAGCCTGGTGGTCGGAGTGTGCTAATGAGCTGGAAGCAGCAGCTGCATCTGGTAACTACCGGAGGCTCTTCCAACTCATCCGAGCCACTAGCAGCAAGAAATCTGGAATGAGCGAAACGATTTGCGAGGATGATGGGATGCCAATCACTAATTTCCATCGATGTCTTGGACAATGAACAGAATTCTTCGAAGGACAGTTCAACTCGTCTGCTGCCTTGGCAAAATCGATCAGACCTGCCCTCCATGACCTGTGACAACTGATCCACCAAATGAGACGGAAGTCTACAAAAAACTCCAACTACTGAAACGCAACAAATCACCGGGCTCAGATGACTTACCTCCGTTTCTTTTTAAAGATGGTGGAGGCCTTCTGGTTAAGGAAATGACTACGTTGTTTACAGAAGTTTGAGAGATAGAGAGTGTTCCGACATCATGGAATGAGTCGATAGTTGTCCCTATCTTTAAAAAGGGTTCACGTCGTTCCTGTAACAACTATCGAGGGATAAAACTACTTCCGATTGCGTCCAAACTATTGGCTTCCGTCATTCTTCGTAGGTTGTTCGAAACCCGAGAAAGATTAACTCGTGAGGAGCAGGTTGATTTTCGTTTTGGTCGAGGGTGTATTGATCATATCTTCATCCTCCGCCAAATGTTAGAACACCGCCATACTTGTCGCAGGCCAGCAATCGTAGTGTTTCTTGACATCAGGTCAGGGCTGCCTTCGATTCGTTGTACAGGACTGTTCTGTCGGTTCTGTCGGTCCTTCACGACTTACTTGTTGGGGCCCTAGAGATGGTGTAACACATTGGCTAGAGATGTTATCAGATATGACTCAGAATAGAAGCCAGTTGCGATCCTTCTGTAACCTTCTCTTACTTTCTTCATAAAAAGTGGTTGTATCTTCCTTAACTGAAAGAATCCTTCTGGTTGTACCTTTCCGTTTCCCCCATTATTATTATTATTATTATTATTATTATTATTATTACACTAATCTGTTCATTATTTTTCTTTTTTTTATTCACGAATTCTCATTGTTTTGTGTGGCGCATATATATTTGGCGTCCCTTTGTGCCAATATTTATGTGTTCAAATAAATAAATAGTACCTTAATATACCTACTTCTGGTCGGACGTTCAGATTATATCACTGATTCTTACATATAGAACAGGTATACAGAGGCCGAAGGAACGGACGTAAACATGACAGTCGAGCTACATTAACAAAATACTCACAGATTTTTCTTTCAGTTTCTGACAAACCTCACTTAATTGTCGTACATACGTATTTTATATGGTGCAATAAATAGTGAATACTAATTTACTTGATCTTAATTTTTTACTTTGTCCTCATACAATAATAATTTCGTAAATTTGCCTCTAGTTTTTAGCTGTTGGTTGTTTTCTTTTCTCAGTTTTCAAATTCCTTCTTAAAATTAACAGATCAACAGTTAACGCTCGGTTTTACTTCGTCTATTGTTATAACGTTTGGGTTTACACGTTTACACAAACGGGACGTTAATTTACCTTAGACGAATATCTACACTAGATTCCCCCTCAGTGTCTATTCTACAGGACGTCAACACAACTCAGATCAAGAACACGTGATTAGCTTGACCACAACGTAAATATATATCCGCACCAAAACCCGACACAATCTAACAACAATGAATAATCAATAATAAGTGAGTAATAATAATAATAAGGATAGGGGGAATATCTAACTTATCTGACACCTGTCAGACTATCTACATGTTTGACTAAGCAGACAACCAATCATTATCATTCCCACACATCAGAAACACAATTGAACTGGATATTGGCCTTTAGATGAAACCTAGGTATTTGCATAATTCTCTCTCAACTCCATTTTTCCGTGAATATCATTTGACGATAAACATAAATAAATCAGGAAATAATGATTGTAAATATCATTACCAAGGTTTGAATTGATAATTTCAAATAAATTGAGCATTGGGTAGATTGTTATAGATAAAAATAATACATCTGTATTATCGCAATGAGTAAAAAAAAATAGATTTTCTGACGTTTCGTGATTCAGTGTAAGCCACTTTTTCTACTCTTTGAGATATTACAAATATATTATTTTTATTTGTAATCATTGTAAATGTTCTTTATTTTATTACTTTTCACTGATATATATGTTGCCAGAATCAACTGTACAACTCATTTATCACTACCAGCATGCTTGAATTGATTCACATGTAATCATATTCTAACTTTTAGTAATGGTTAATTGATTATCATTGTTGACAATATGTATCTGTTTTTGTTTTATACATTGTTTCTTGTTTCTCTAAGATACTAACTATTTTCTGTATGGCTATTGTATAAAAAGTCTATTATAGGGCTTTTCTCTTGTGTTGGTTTCGTGTCTTTTAACTAATTATATCAATTACTTATGTGTTATAGATAAAATTCTTCAGTGTAATAGTTAATTATATCAACCTTTTTTCCTTTAAAAAAGAAAGTACCTTTGTATGTATCCTTATATGATGATCAAAACAAAATTAGTAAAGACTTATCAAAATTATTTATTCTGAGGTAAATGTTATTAAAACGTACTTCTCAAATCTTAAATCACGCTTCTCTATTTTCGGTTTACTCAACAATTCTGATGACATACGTCCAAATGTATCTCACTGACTTAAGTCATTTATCGTTTATTAACAGCATCATAGGTTCCACTTTTATTTCTTTTTTTTCTGCTGAAGATAATAGACTAGTCTTTATAGTATCTCTTTGAGAGATGGTAATAACTTCAATTCGAGCATATGATCGTGTACGTGATCACTGAGTTATCCCTCTTTAGGATGAACACTCATTACCTGTACATAACATCATACTTTTTTATTCGGTGTAGTTGTAAAATGTGAATATTATTACACCACATTTCCTTCGTTGTATAGGTTTTTATGTCTTTATAAAGGTGTACATAACTATATTTCTTTACTTATTGCGTTCATTTATTTAACAAATTTAAGTTATATCCTAATAGGTTTTCTACGAATTTGATTGTGCTATAAGGTATTGTATGATATGATGCTCTGTAACGATATTCTGCGTATGTTAATTTCTCAGCGATTTATTATCATAATTATGTAATTCCTTGTTTTTATAAAAATGTGTATGTATCAAGAGTGTGTTCGCTTGTAATTTGGTCTGTAAGAGAACCTCTTTAGTTTATCATACACAACGATTTATTCTTTTTTCAGCTTGGTGATGGAAAGAATTTTCATGATCCACTCTATTTCAATGAAGTTATGTGAATAAATATACGGCGAATTATGGAAAATTAAAAAAGAAACACTGGTAATTAGCATCATCATCATCATCTCTGAAAAGAAAGCACTTGTCATTAATGCATTTTCTTTCCTTCGTCGTTGGTATTTTTCTCGCTCTCTCTCTCCCTCCCTCATAATCTATTAGATTTGACTGTCCATGACTGAAAATTCCATTTATATGTTTCTATTTACCTTTTATATAAATATGCGCAGACATATTATAATAAAGAGCACTGATACATATTTGATGAAGAAAAATACACTGAACAGTAGATGGGGATTATTCATAAATGAATAACCGTTTAGTTTGGTTTGTTTGCATGTGTTTGTTAATTTCAAGCTATCTTATCATTTTTTTTTCCTGTTTTTACCTTCCTTGTATACATTCTTCTATTATGCACTATTGTCCCATATGCATCCGTTGGTAGAGAAATATTTATTTTCTTTAAAAAAAACAGTTAACATCTTTACGTCCAATTACTCTGTGATTTATTGATTTCATTCCGTAGATTAAAAATAATTTAATAGTTAAAAAGAGTCATGTGTTACTTTCATTTCATTTTGTTTCCTACTATACTTGTAAATACTGTTATTTGTGTTGTTGCTAAATGTCATTTACTAATAATTAATTACACATTGTAATATTCTTTTGAAATATTATTTTTGTATATTTTGCCAGTCTGTTTATATTTGTTTGTTCACTTGATCAAGTGCATTGAATCATTACTATTGGAAATTTTATTTTATTTAAGTGTTTTCATGAGCTTTGACAAAAAAGATTCTATTTTACTTTTTAACTGAATGTTCACATATACATGCATGTATCATATATATGTGTATCATATACTAAAACTCCACTTGAAATTTTGTTTATTTACTTCAATTATGTCTAAAAGTAGAGCACAGAAATGTCCGTCACTCATTTAACGAGTTATGTATAAATTCTTGATAACCAACAGAAATTGAACTTTTATTTATACAATGTGAATTAGTTGTTTGAACAAGAAGAAAACAGTGTGATGATATTCTTTTCGATTATCTCTTTAAGTATGGTTAAATATTCACCTGAATCGTGTCATTCATTTAGGTGAGATTTTTTTATGATTGAAGGATTGGGATTTCAGCTATTGAAAAACAGCTTGGACTTCTTTTTCGCTGCGATCCTGACAATCAGATAGTATTTTTAGCGTCCATATGAAAAATGAGCAGCCCTAGGTTTACTTAATAAGTGACTTCATCAGTCGATTAGATGAAAATCAGTTTTGTTGTTGAAGCTTATATAATAATATTGGTATTTCCTTTCCGAAATATATATTTCTAATGTTCGCTGTTAATATTTTTATACTCTAGTGATTTATTCATTGACGAGTGGCCAAAATGGAATAAATGTTTCCAGTTCATAACACTGACACACTTGATTTGACTAAAACGTTTTATACTTATAAACTGTGTATTAAACAACATCCACTGCATAAAGTAGTGATATTAGATGCTATAAAGGTCAGTTCTTGTTAAAACTTTATCATTTGTGTAAAAGTTTAGCTATTGAATTCTCTACAAGCTGCACACTCACTGGAAGGCAAACAGTCAAATACTGGAGATAGTTTAATAGAAATATAGATGTTGCTACTGTTTATGGACTTAAAGCTATCGGGCTACATACAGTTGTATTTCTGTTTATACTATATCCGTGCTGGAATAGTCTACGATTGTCACAGTTACTCGCTAGAACTTTTCTGAGTCAGAAAATTTAGTTCCTACCATTCACAGAGTGTACCTGTGATAATGACTTCATTTATTACGTATGATATAGTAAATCCAGTACTTTAAAGGTGGATCACGACCCTAGTGATCTGTTGTAAAGGAGAGTGAGTTTAAATCGACCAATTTTAGGGTCAATACACTACAAGTTATAGTACACTCGATTTCACTCCATGGATTAAATGACTTGTTAGTTGTCAACTGATATATGTGACGCTAAAAATGACACATAATCATAACACACTAAGAAATGGATCTTTGAAGAGTTTCTGGCACTTAATTTCACACGATAAGTATTCTAAAGTATTCATATATATATTGCCTTCAGGTTTAAAAATGTTGTTTGAGTGATACTTGTTGTTATGCAAATGATATTTAAAACAGCAAAATGGAAAATATGTGTTTATTATCTTATCACAGTAAAAGTACAGTTGATTCAGTTTTCAGACCATCACATATAATAATAACAAACACTGAAATTAATCACGGAATGTTGCCGTTCACATAGATAATAGCAACTAGATCTTTCTTTCATCCAACACCATTTCTCCTCACCATTAATTGACTCAACAAAACACAAATATTTGAGAGTTATCTATCACTGTTTCAATCTCTCGTGTTGGTACTTAAATTCTATTGAAATGGGCTAATTATTTATCCATGTCAATTTTCACTGTACATGCATTTTCTTGTTAAAATCAATAAATGTTTTTTACTTCTGTTCTAGGTGTACTTTTTCAGTATTCTTGACACGTATATCTATGTAGATGCATGCGAACTTCTACAGATGACACTTCACAGTTTCGTTTGACTGTTTTAACAGTTTATACACGCATTATTATTAGTAGTATTTTCTGTCATATCTCGTCCTCACATTTTCGTCACAATAACATCTTTGTCGTTCGATTAGTGGCATGGACTTACTAACGTGATTTTAGGTCACAGATTTTGTTAGGCTATAATTTCTATTCCAATTTTGTGGTATTATTAAATTCAAATATGTCATTATTTTTAACAACTCAGTCAGTGAATTTTACATAGTATTGCATAGTCTCATTAAAGAAGTAATTAAAGGTGTGATTTTTGCTTTAATTGTATTATTTGTCCACCATATCTGGTCAGGCTACACTGGACCAGTTCATAGCATGCTCAAATTATATTTCAGTTGTCGACAACTTTAGATTTGTCGTGAATTTTTGGAAGTAAATCTTTAGTGAATAATGTTAATAGAAGCTCTGATGCTATACTTCATTCTGACAGTTGTACTTTGAACCGTCTATTTAACCCTAAATGAATTAAGTCTTCAGTCTTGAGATGATACATTTTTCGTTTATGGGTAAGTCTATATCACTTGTATTTAATTTACAGTTTCTAGACTTTATTGTGTATAATGAGTTTTTCTAAGTGACATGTCTAATCAAACTAAATATTAATTAAGACACTTCTTAAGTATACTTATCTTTCACACAACTTAGTGTATTTAATATGATAATAATGATTGGAGAAAGCAATAAACCATACAAGTTTCCTAGACTGATTTGTTTAACACTTCTTTTCCTGATATGTGCTTGAATGTAGAAATTAGAAAGATGACAGTATGAAAAGCCGTAGCATAAATAACTCCTAGAAGTTTATACCTATGATAAAGAAATACTCATCAAGAAAAAAAAAGTTCAAAACTATTCAATCTTTATTCAAATTTAACATCGAGATAATGTGTGTTAATAAGTAAAATTGACACTGAATCGTTTAAATCAATAAACAGACAATGTATCTAAGTCCATTGAATTAAGACGATTAGGTTTTTTTTATAAACTATGATCACCTAATTAAATTTTAAAAAATCGGTAATTATTTTGTTGCAAATATTAATTAATCACACATAGTTCTTTTTGTCTGTTTGATTGTGTTTTATGTTGTTGATAAACTCATTTTAAAGTAAATGATCTGTAAACTAAATTATCATAAACTTACCATTATAATTGAACTTTGTAAATGTATTAATAGGTAATTGAATGAATTATTCTATAGTATATACCAGCTGAGAAAATCACGGATACCTTGTTAAAATTAATCAGCAACGTGAAAAAGAGATATTCAGTCTAAATATCAAAGTCATAAGTGTTTTTATGATATAGCTTGATAAAAAAAAGTAGAAATAATCTCAAAATAATCAATACACCATACAGTTACAATTCGTAAGAGTTATTTTTCCAAGTGAACTGTAGAATGAAAATATTATCTTTGAGTGTTAATCCCATTTGGTACCTGGAAAATGACTACAGATTAAAAAAGCTCAATGATCTGAGAATTTTTTGTATTCCTGATAACATATAATTGGTTTCGATAATGCAATAAGAAGACGAAGATTATCAGAACTATGTGATATATTAACACAACATATTTCGAACAATCCCCCCTTTGTGTGTTCAAAAACAGTTTGTTCTTACCTTAAACCTACCCCGGTAATATTGACTTATTATCCAGAGTGATTAGGTTTTGAATTGTGTTCACATTATTATCATTACTCTTATCATTATCCTTATCTTCTCTTACCCCGTTTCCAGTCTAGTTGACCTTTTATTTTTATGTATAAATGCTCTTAACAAGTATATTTGTGATCAGATTGTTCGAAATGTATTGCGCTAATATATCACATAGTTCTCATAATCTTCGTCTTCTTATTACATCATCGAAATTTATCAAAGGGACTAGTTGTTTTAAATGTAATTGGTTATCAAAATCTTATGAAATAATTTCTCAGCATCTATTAATTAAAGGTTTACTTTTTGTTCGAGTGAAAATCCCTATTCAGACATTCAGTAAAATCAAGAAAAAATCAAAGAAATACTTGATTGATTTTATGAGCTCATGGGTTGTTGCTACTGTAATTTAGAATTTGATCTGTGTGGGTCGTCATACAATATATTTGAGTCACAACTGATTGATCACTGGGTGGTGATCAATGTCATGCTTGTCTAGTCCTTATTAGTGCAGATCGAATGCTATCGATCATGTTGCAATGTGGCCACCAGTCTAGGTGACTCGACACTGCGGGCACTATGTATTGAGGGAGCACCAGTTCCCTCAAGATTACAGGTACACCTTGCTGACGAGTGCGAAGTAGCACGAAACCCGGGTCCAGGGTTTCCTGTTGACTACCTCCAACCACCATCTAATATATTTGAGTCTCCAGATATCCTGTATCGGTTCTAGTGATTAATACATACAAGACTGGTAGTTTGTTGTTTGACTCCTGTTCCATTGTGAACTTGATGTAATCGAAAACATTGTTGATCGACTTGTAGGTGTCTTCCAGCTCGTCCTTTTTGACGATGACGAATGTGTCGTCCACATAACGAATGCAAATTTTTGGCTTGATCACTGGGGCTTCCAGTCTCTGCATCACTGTTTCTGAAATAAGTCCTGATGTTCGTGATCCCATTGGAATTCCTTTAGTTTGTTTGTAGATTTTGTTGTTGAATTGAAAATATGTTGTTAAGCATAAATCGATAAGTTCTAGTGAATTTTGACTTTGAATTTTCATTTACTTTTTGAGATTTCTGTGACTGTGAGAAGCAGGGATACAGTTTCCTTTGCCCCTTTTAACATACCAGAGCAACAATTAGTATAGGTACATGGAACGTTTGGATAATGTGAAGGACTAGGAGAACCAGTCAAATATCTATGGAAAGAAGTAGATGCAACTTGGCAGCTGGAAAGAAAAGAATAGATTCGAGAGAGATACTGTCGTATTATGGTCATGAAGAAGAAAATGCTTTGTATACACAAAGGATTGCACCGATGCTGTCCGAAAAAGCACGTAATGCACTTATAGGATGGAAATCTCACGGAATCAGGATCACCAAATTTTCCTTCAAAACAAAGGAGGAGAGAGTCACAATGAATGTTACCCCACGTTATGTACCCACCAACAATCTCAATAAAGATCAGTTCTATGAGAGGCTAAAATCAATTACAGCGGAGTGCTCAAGAAATGACCTGACAATTCTGATGAGATACCTAAACACCAAAGTTGGAACGGACAACACCGGGTATGAAGATATCATGAGACGACATACACTGACTAGGAGAAAGGA